ACATGTAAAAAGTTGTCGATCGAGGTTGTACAAATAGAGCTTTTCTTTTTACTTTGTAACTGTTGCTCTCTCGTGCGTGTAATTGGCTGTTAAATTTCACAGCATCAAATTTTCAGTACGTTAGTCCCTGCCGTTAAAATCAATCTGTCAATCCATTAAGCGCATCAAGCAGGCCAGCGGCACTGAATAGTCAGGAGAGCTCCTAGATCATGGCGGCGACAGCCGTCGTTCTCCACCACTTCCCTCTCTCGTCCCCTTCTCGAAAAATATATCGTTCTCAACTCTCGATTCCCACCATACTACGTCTCCAGCACCACCGCTTCAACGCTTCTCCTCTCTTTCAGGTCAAACACTTTCTTCGGTCTATAACATTTTGCACGACGATATGATTAGTAATTGACTTTTTATTGTACAGGAAGGTCAGAGTTTGAATTATGATTGGCGGACTAGGGGTGTCAATCCTCGAAGCGGCGTAGCGATGGGGGATTATGGCTATATAGACGACGACGACGATGACGAAGATGAAGAGGATGAAGAGGAAGATAGGAGTTTGGACCTTTTGATTAGGTTCGTAGAGAATATTTTCAGAAAGGTCTCCAGAAAAGCACGCAAGGCCGTTCGATCTGTTCTTCCTGTCCCTATCTCCGCCCAATTGGTAAGGATAAGCTGTCAACTCGATACACAATTCGAAATTCTACAGATTAATTCAGCTTTTGGTGGTAATTTCGTTTGGGTCTTGAGTCCAGAATTCATATAAATTGAGTAACCACGAATGATGGCTGACAGGGCTGGGGACAGGGGATTTAAACAGCCACCTCTGCCCTGTTTAAATTCCCTGTCTCCAGCCCTGTTTTGAGTAGCATTAATCTTAGTAGTAGTTCTAGTATAAGGGGTTTCACTTGTTTTCTTTCAATCATTTGTTGATTTTAGATTAGGGTTAGTTATGTACTCACGATTAGAACTCTTACACGTCATGAATGTATAGATTTTATGGTTTTCTTACGCTGGACTAAATTTCTATAATCGTAGATGCTGACATATTTAGAGAATCTAATGGTCCACACCTTTAAATCTCTGTCACAGTTTTATATTGAAAGATTATTGGGGGTGATGGTCGTGTTATGAGAAGTTCAAATTGCACATAGATCTTCTCTTGGAATCTAAAGAAACCACTCATCTTGAATGTGCTAGTTTCTCGTGTTCGGTCTTGCAGTATTTTTTTCTTGAATTTTTTCTGAACAAGTTCTATACGATCATTGTCTTGACTTGATTTCTTGAAAACTTTTCTCAGGTGCTCTCATTTTGATTGTGCCATAGTTTGATACAGTGAACATAGAATCAATTGTTGCTTGAACATTGTGAAGTTGGCCATTTCTACATGCACATTCACACGTATATATGCATATGAATGGAGTTGTAAAAATTACTTTTCTGCTGTTTATCTGACAACCTTGGAAGTCTGCATGCCCAAAGCTATGTAAGCATGTGATCCAGTGGGGTATTTGAAATCCGTTTTTTTATCTAACATGCATAGTGTTGCTATTTGTTTGCTGGGAGACTGTGAGGGGTGGCTTATCTTCAATCAAAAGTATCAAATGTTATACTGACAACAGGACCTTTTTTGCCTTTCACTTCATCTCTGATTTCTACCTGAACAGTCTAGTCATTTTTGCTACATTGAATCCCATTTTTTCAATTTTTATTACTTCGGCTTGAGGAATTGTTAAAAAGCTTTAATACCTTTCATCATAATTTTGACTCATTCATCTTGCCATTTCACTTCAAGGTAGAGCATATTTTCGCTTGTTTAACCGCAAATTTATGGTAATGAGCATGTGTAGAAGTAGTTGATGATGAAGACCTCTTACTAACAACCAACCAAGAATTGTTAGTTTTTTTTGGTGTGACCCTGTTTTGGTCATGTGTCTAGGTTCTTTGACTTAAAGCCCTTGTTCGTTCTGTTAGGTTGGATTTGCTGTTAATGGAGTAATAATTCTGACATTTTTGTGGGTTTTGAAGGCATTCCTAGAGGTAATAATTTACTTTTCTTGTGAATTTACTTTCTTTGAAGATAATGTTGGCCATCACTATGAGTCTCATCCTCACTATTTTTGGTTGATACGTGATGTAAGGATATTGTAATCTCGGCAAGGTGCCATAGTTTTCTGAAAAATTCTGTAGAAATTTATGAGTTAAGGCTGTTGGCCATAATAGTGTATTTGGACAGAGAGAGATGTCAGAATGACAAGGTGTATCATCAATTGGTGGATTTAAATAAAGTTTCTCGATTTGATACTTTGGAGCTGATGTACTTCACTCGACAGATTGTAATTTTCTCAGTCACAAGTTGGTTCTTGAGATGCCCAACATAAGGATCAACTAAAGAATGTTAGCCATTTAATTCTTGTGATAATTGGTCTTTGTCCCCTGCAACTCCAAAAAGAAAATTCTGTAGAAATTTATGAGTTAAGGCTGTTGGCCATAATAGTGTATTTGGACAGAGAGAGATGTCATAATGACAAGGCGTATCATCAATTGGTGCATTTAAATAAAGTTTCTCGATTTGATACTTTGGAGCTGATGTACTTCACTTGACAGATTGTAATTTTCTCAATCACAAGTTGGTTCTTGAGATGCCCAACATAAGGATCAACTAAAGAATGTTAGCCATTTAATTCTTGTGATAATTGGTCTTGTCCCCTGCAACTACAAAAATATTCATAATCACACTTTCAGTAACCACCACTTCCTGCAGGTAATAGATCTTAGGTGCTTCAGGCTTCTGATATTGCCAGTTTAAGGCTTTCTAAACTATATTACTTAAAGCTTTTTTATCCTTTGATTAAAGAGCTTAATAAATTTTTTTTTTCTTTTTCTCTAGATTAGATTGTTCTATTCCCTTAATTCATTTTCTCTACGTCATTCCAGGTAATTTGCTCCTTTGGGAGTGCAGTGTTCGTGAGTATTTTGCTTATTCGCGGGATATGGACTGGGATATCCTACTTCCAAGAAAGCCGTATTCACAGGGCAGATGATGATGATCCCCATATGGCATGGAGTGGCACAAAACCTGCCCTTTGATCTATTTCTTTGTGACGGATAGGTTCAGAGATCAGAAATGGTGGCATATGACTTCTGATGCAAGGTTGATGTGCTGAGCAACTCTAGTTCTGAGAATATGAAGTGATGGATCGATCTTACAGGGTCGTGGACAGGTTCTAGGTTTAACCATACACCATTTTCTGCCCTCTCTTTTTGTTCAATCGAACCACAGAAAAGTTTGCACTGCAGTTGTAATTTGCTTATCTATCTCATAGGTTAGATATACGTAAACCACAATAGACTAGGTCTTTTGAATTCCATTTGAGGCTAAATTGAAGAAGATACCATATCATGAGGTACTATATATTTCTCATGTAACTCTACACATGATTATGAATCTATAAACTAGTATTTGGAAATTGTGCTACCTTGGCACGTGCCAATTCTCCTGTTACATTTTTCGTTCATGCCGTGGGAAATCCTGTTGGGAGAGTCCCCTGTTGTTTTACAGAACAGGGGAAACAGATTCAACTACACTGAGAGACGCATCTATTTACGACCACTTTTAAGGCTAGTCTTGAACGCCATCATCCTGTGTATTTCAGTATTCTGTGCTGTCTGGTGAGAAGGAAGAAGAGTAACCTAGGGGCACTCCTACTGGCATGTCCATACGAAACCCGAGTAGGCAGGTCAAGAGATCCTACGAGGTACTATCTGGAGTACCATCCGAGAAGGAAAAAGATGTATTTGCTAGGTTTGGCTCTTAGTTGGTTTGGGTTGGGTTGGGTTGAGTGGGTTCAATTAGAAGCCTGTTGCGCCTTGTATTTCTTTCGCTCCTTTTTTCTTCTCATCGGAGTCGCAGGGTAAAGAAGAAGAGGGAACCAGCACACTTGGGAGTGCAGTATAACATAGAGTTGTATTCTAGCCTATCTTCTTTCGATAAACAAACTTCCTCTGACTATTTATTTGCTGGATGGCTCTCAATTCTTGAGCATGTCGGGAGATTAGGCTACAGTTGAAAGAGATGCTCAAAAGCTTGACGAACAAGCAAAAAATGTCACGCAATCTTGATTTTGAAAACAAATTGAAATTGTAGCTAAGAAGAGAATGAAAGCAGAAGAAATAGCCTTGTTTTTACAAGAAAGGGAGGTAAACAATGAAAGGAAAAATTTACTTGAATAGTAAAAGTGTAGTGCCATATAGCACCATTTGTACTACTCTATGTGGCAACATTATATGTCCAATTAATTGATGTCATAAAACTACTTTAGGAGTTCATTTGAACTTCATGTAGAAGAATTTCATGAGAAATTTATCTTAAGTGATATTTAAAAATTAATTTCTAGAAGACATTCCTCTTCACGAAGAGCTCTTAGAAAAAGTCATATTAAATCAGTTTTCTCTAAAAGTTACTTTAATTAAAAGAAACACTTTAATAAAACTAATTAAACAATCTTTAATTGAATATATCATTAAATGTCAAGTATAAGGGTGGTGTTAGCACTAGTGATGCAATTTATGAGGTCACCTAAACTAGAAATAGTTGGAGATACTTTAAAAGAGATTATATTTTCATTTTAATTAAATTTTCTCTAATTTCTTTTGTAGATAATGTAAAGGGACCCCACAAATATCTTCGAATTTAATCAAGAAATTATCAATAGTAGGGGACACTCCAATTGTCTTCTATTTAGATCAAGAAATTATGTAATATTTGAGCGAGCCAGCTTATATCTGGGCCCAATCCAACCACCCTTCATTACCCCCACCCCATAGGAATGACAAAAAAATTCGTTCAACTCGATATCTGTGGAGTTGAGTCCCGTCCCGAATGGGATGAGAATTACCCACCTAATCGAGTAGACGGGGCGAGGGTCATTACCACAAAGCGGGTACGGGAAACATAGTCCCGCCCCATTTAAAATTAATTTCAAATTTAAATTTTTTATCGAACAAAAATAAATTTATTATTATTTAATAACAAATTAGTAAAAAAAAGTATTAATATTTACTAACTAAAGATATAAAAAAAATAAATGCAATAAATAAAATAAATGGAGCGATAAATATGGCAAGGGATCTGTCTCGCACCACCCCGAACCCGCCACGCTCCGCTTTATTTGAGTACGGAGATGGGACAAAATAATAAAAATACCCGATAAAACGAAGTGTGAATGACCGACCCGTCTCATTCCTGCCCCATTGCCATGGTTACCCCAACATCGCCGCCGCCGCCGCCGCCGCCTTTTTTTTTTGGCTATAAATAGACACCTCTTCCCCATATATCCTCTTCACCAAAAAGGCAAAAGGCTTCTTGATAAACGCCAAAATTTTAATTCTTTTTTCTCAAATTTTTGTCTGATTTTCAATCTTTGTCCCATAATTTTCCATTTTTCCCATATTTTTCCGTCGAAAATGAGAGAGTGCATTTCCATTCACATTGGCCAGGCCGGTATCCAGGTCGGAAATGCTTGCTGGGAACTTTATTGCCTCGAGCATGGCGTTCACGTACCGCTTCCTCCTACTATTTAGATTCATTTACGTTTATTAGCTACGTGTGTATGTTTAAATTTATTTTTATATGTATATTTGTGCATAAACGTGTGTATGGATTACACTGTTAATTTGGTTCTATGCTAGATTTGTGAAATTTGAAAATGAAAATGGTTGACAGGGTTTCATTAGACGCCTCTGGTTAACGTAACAGATGTTCTGATATGTATCTGGGGTAGATTTTTTCTGCATTAATTGAATGAATTGTTCTCTTATCAGAACTGAGAAACAAGTATGGAATTTGCTTAGATCTGAAAACGATCTTGGGTTTTCTGTTAATATTTGTAAGTTTTTATTTAAAAGAACAATAATGTTATCGTTAATTTGCTTATATGCTAGATCTGTGAAATTCGAATATGAAAATGTTTGCCTTTATTTGACGTCTCTGGTTGGTTGTTTCGTAATTGGCTTAGATCCTATGTCTTCTGCTCAAAGGTTAATGTCGTTGTAACAGGTAGTTTTCTGGTGGTGATCATTCAAAGTACGCAGGACTTCTTTGTTTCTTAATAGTTCTAACAAATTAGCTGAAAGATAAATTGAAATAATTGATTCTTTCTTGGATTTCAAACCCAGAATTTCTAACTATTCTGGTGATTGTTTCTTGTGTGTCAAATATAAGATTTTATTTTTTGATTATGTGCTATTGCAATACTATCTGGGAATTAGGATTTCCGAACATTTGCTTTTTCTTGTACAGCCTGATGGCCAGATGCCAAGTGACAAGACTGTAGGAGGTGGTGATGATGCCTTCAACACTTTCTTCAGTGAAACTGGTTCTGGAAAGCACGTTCCGCGTGCTGTCTTTGTGGATCTCGAACCCACTGTCATTGACGAGGTGAGGACTGGAACCTACCGTCAGCTATTCCACCCTGAACTGCTCATCAGCGGGAAGGAAGATGCTGCCAACAATTTTGCCCGTGGTCACTACACAAGTAAATGAATTCGACATAATCACTTCTGATCATATTACTATAATCTAATAGTTTTTACTTGTTAGTGTTCTAACAACTGGACTTTGAAATTTTGAATTTGTGCAGTCGGAAAAGAGATTGTCGACTTGTGCTTGGACCGTATCAGAAAGCTTGCTGACAATTGCACTGGCCTTCAAGGGTTCCTTGTCTTCAATGCTGTTGGTGGAGGCACTGGTTCGGGATTGGGCTCCCTGCTCCTGGAGCGCCTGTCTGTGACTATGGAAAGAAGTCGAAGCTTGGTTTCACCGTCTATCCTTCCCCCCAGGTCTCCACTTCTGTTGTGGAGCCTTACAATAGTGTCCTCTCCACCCATTCCCTGCTTGAACACACTGATGTTGCTATACTTCTTGACAATGAAGCCATTTATGACATTTGCCCCTACACCAACCTTAACCGCCTCATCTCTCAGGTAGGTGATACTGCATACTAATTATACAGTGTTTATAATTCGTACTTTCGTCTTTATGTTGATTTTGGCTTGTACTGAACGTTGTTGGGGTGCAGGTGATCTCATCCTTGACTGCATCACTGAGGTTTGATGGTGCCCTTAATGTGGATGTCACCGAATTCCAGACCAACTTGGTTCCTTACCCCAGAATCCACTTTATGCTTTCCTCCTATGCTCCCGTCATCTCAGCCGAAAAAGCTTACCACGAGCAGCTCTCCGTTGCTGAAATCACCAACAGCGCCTTTGAGCCATCATCAATGATGGCCAAGTGTGATCCTCGCCATGGTAAATACTGTTGAGTCTAAACACCCAAAATAGAAAATAGAATTTTATTAATGAAATAAACTCTCACAATTTTGGGCAAACTCACTAAGGCCACTAATAATATTTTATTCACTCAACAACTCACACTCCAACAATTGTCTCTCTCTTTCACGCACAACACACAAATATGTGTGACTTCCTATCTCTCTGCTCTCTATCTTATCACACACAGAGATACATATATATACAGCAACACACACACATATATATAGGTAGCATAGTCGGTGGCTTCCTTTTTCTCCATAATTCTAGATAACTTCAATGGCGGTGGATAATAGATAATACCAGCGGCTTCCAGTATGGCGGTGGTGATAGATTCTTCTAGGCTTGACTGAAGTTTATTTTGTCTGGAATTTTCTATGAATGGCTGTGAGCTTCAATTCCAACAACTTCCAGATTCTTCTTCAAAGTCGGTGCTGATTCTATAGTTCTCCCCTTCAGCAACGACTTTTCATTTTGACTCTTTTCTTCTTCGTGACGTCCAGTTTTGCCTCGACGAATTTTGAAGTGCTCAATTCTCCATTCAATCTCTCCGACTCTCTCTTTCATTCTTTTCTATTTATCAATTTTTAATTTAACATGATTTGTACTTGATTTCTCATGTCCATCTGACTTGATTATTTGTGCTTGTGAATTTGTACGTACCTCGATATCTTGTTGATTCTTTCGATCCTCCAATAATGTTTCTTGGTCCACATCATTTTGTCAAGGAATCTGTGTCGCTCTTGTAATATCTACTTTTATATTTGATACATGTAGATCTTTAAATCCCTCAATGCTTTGTAGTGCTTCCATGACCTCCTCTTGCAAGTTGTCTTTCGTTTCCTTTGAATCGAGCAGTTCTAGCCTCTGCGGTGTCTCGAAAGGATATACTTCTTCAAACACTTCTTCTGAGTCTGTTAGTTCCTCNGAATTTATTTTCTTTTCTCGAGCCTTTTCAATTACTATTGTTGATGTCACATCATCTCATTCTTATTCACTATCATTTTTCTCTTGCTCGTTGGAGGTTGCTATATTGCCTTCTACTAGCTCCTTTTTAAACCAACAGTCTCTAGCAAATACATGGCGTGCTACTTGATGTACCGTGGTGATGTAGTTCCCAAGGACGTAAATGCAGTTGTTGCCACCATCAAGACTAAGCGGACTATCCAGTTTGTCGACTGGTGCCCTACTAGTTTCAAGTGTGGTAAAAACTACCAGCCACCCACTGTTGTCCTCAGTGGCGATGTTGCTAGGGTACAAAGAGTCGTCTGCATGATTTCCAACTCAACTAGTATGGCCGAGGTGTTCTCATGCATTGACCTTAAGTTTGATCTCATGTATGCAAAGAGGGCCTTTGTTCACTGGTACGTGGGCCAGGGAATGTTGGAAGGCAAATTCTCTGAAGCTCGAGAAGACCTTGCTGCTCTAGAAAAGGATTACCAAGAGGTTGGCGCTGAGGGAACTGGAGATGATGGTGACGCAGGTTACGAATAATATTTTGTTTTACCCATTCCTGTGAGATTTGCGTGTTGTTTATGTTAAATGTGAGTAGTTTATGGCATTATTTTATTACTGGTATGTTCCTGCCATTGTTTGAGAAAAACTATTCTCCAAATATATGATTCTAGTTTTGTTTGAATCGCTTGTTTCCTTGCCTAGAGAAAAGTAATATAGAATGTTTTAATAGTGAGTTACAAGAAAGGATAAGGCTGAACATAAATATTTTAATTGTTGAACATACAAGAATGTGCTTAGTTCGATCACTGAAGACGAGGAGCTATTTGATATATCTTCTCTTCAAGCAGCATGCAAAATACTGCACAGGAAAAAAGAAGGATGGCAGTTAATAAATCCAGAATGCTTAAGGTGCAAACTAAGAGGCTGCAGAAATGAAAATAAAGAGTTTTACTATATGTACAGCCCCCTCCCCAGTAGGAGGTTCACAAATTTTTTATTGAATGTGAACCCCCCTTGTGTGAGGTGACACCCGATGTACAAATAGCAAAATTTATAAATACAACACAAAAATGCATAACCAATAATGACCTCCCGTTATTAAATATGATTCTGGAACTTTGAAGCTTGAGATTCTTTTTCACTGATGCCTTCGAGCAGAAACAGCTCAATTTCATCAATTAGATCAAGTGACTGGATGAATTTTACAGTTTTTAATATTGTACCGTTTTATGTAATTATTACCTGTTTTTGGAATAGTTATAATCTAATGATTGAAACTGGATGAATTTCATCAATTAGATCAAGTGACTGACTAAAAGAGTTTCTTCATTTGGTGTCACTCACGTTAGAACTGGCGATTTACACTAGGTGGGCCCTGGACGTGAATGTATTGACTTCATGACGTGGCACCATCCAAACCAGAGGCTGAATAGCCCCTTTTTTTTTTTAATTTGGTGGATGACATAATTTATTTAATAATTTCAATTACATTAATAATAGGAATAGATTTTGCATATACAATAAAAATTCAATTCAATCTGTTCAACATTTTATTTAAAAAAATTACTTGTTACATTTTCTTGTAAGTTTAACCATGCAGGGACACTATGCCGATTAGCCATATCTGAAATTTTCGCCAAAGAGGAGGAAGTGGTTCAGATTTGACGACAGAGGAGGCCGCAGCAATCTGTTCTGTTCATTTTTCTCAAAATACTTTTATTTTGATGAACAAAGTGAGAATAACATTTTTGTTCGTTTAGATCTTCTGTCTCTGCAACCGCATATATAGAATCATACGAAATGCGTCTTTAATATGCAATATTGAACAAAACTACACAGTACGATAAAAATAAAATTTAAAAATACGAATAAATCAAATTGACCATAAATATGAAATGCAAAGCTCAAATTCGAAATATCATTTAAAACACAAACACATCTCTATTTCTGCACAATATATAAATATGATAATATACTACAACAAATCCCAACAAGACTATAACTCAAATTCATAGATGCCATGGGAGGTAATCCAGGAATACCTCAGTGCGTTTATAAGCACTTGTAATTTACAAGGATAACATAGGTACCCTGAAGGCTTGGGGCTGTACACGGGCCGGTGAGATATCCACTTTACCAGAAAGGACACCATCTGAAACACGAGTAGTAGGTAGACACATTAGATACAAGTAAAACAATATGGATGCTAAGCCTAAAAAGTCTACTTATAATTAACTGTACAAGTTTTAGAATAAATAGTTTTTCTTTTCTTTATTTTTAGTCAAGTGAGATAAGAAAATTACTTATTTTGACAGTAAGGTAAGAATAAATTTCAAAGAAAGAACCTTTTTTGCTTAAAAGTAAGTTATCCAAAAAAAATTCAGATATAATTTTTTTTTAAGCTTAGAAAAACATGCTCTTTCTCTTATTCCACATTTTTCGGATGAAATAGCATTTTTGCATACAGAAGTTTAGATAACTTGGACAAATTTCTAGTGTGGCTATTATATTTATTTTAAGAGGTATTCCATTTGTCAATTCTCTCATTTGAAAGCAGTTTATGAAAAGTTCAAAGTAAACAATTCCTTAAAGACAGCATTAGAGATATGAGAAATCATACCCAACATAATTTTGGCACAAATTTTCATGTGATTTTGCTTGAAGAATAAGCTTCTGCACTTGTAATTTGACGGATAAACCATGGTCAGCTTCACGAGTATCACCAGAAATAAGGGTGCTATGGTCAAGCGAATGTTGAATGGCAGTAGATGGCAACGAAGAACATGGAGAGAAATCACGACCAGTGAGTTTGTTGCTCATCCGTGCCATAACCACCACAGCTCGTTCATTCAAAACCTCATTAGCATCGCCTAGTTGATTCACAGCCTACAATAAGAAAATTGAAACCATAAGCCCCAGTAATACTGTTTGGAGTTCGTTTTTTCTGTAGGGAGAGAGAGAATACACTGGTTGGAGGGTTTTCTCCTTATTTTGCCCGATAGTCAATCAGGCTAGTTGATTCGTAAGATTAAAATCAATCAGTACCTGAAGGAGCTCTCTAGATAAAAATCAATCAGTACCTGAAGGAGCTCTCTTTCCCGTGCACCTCGTTGTGGTTGAAGCAGTTTTCCATTTGGGGCTGATTCCTCACCATTCACAACGGCTGGCACATGCGTGCTTGCAAGAGTAGACATTTGAGGGACTTCATTGAAGTTGAAAAGACGCCAATTTATTAGGGGATCATGCACAAACGCCTGGAAAAAAAAGTCAATTATAAAATTGATGTATAGATATGAAGGGGAAAGGGGCAGGGTAATTAAAAGGGAGTCTTCTCTTAGAAAAAACCCCATTTCCATCACAACCGACTGCCAACCTAATCCAAAAATTACTCCCACCAAAGCAGCTAATCATTACTACATAAAGCCAAACACAATTCCGCAATATCATCAATCAAATCAACCATAACAATCCCGTGCCACAGTCATCGCTGTACTATCCAGCGCTACCATAAAAACTCAACCATCAAGCCATCAACCATAACAATCCCGTGCAACACTCATCGCTATACTATCCAGCGCTACCATAAAAACTCAACCATCAAGCCATCATTGACATCACCTTTTACCACCCTATTCCCAGCAAGCATGTATGCATACATGCACCTGCTTCCGGAATTATCACAGCAATAATCTACCAACATGTAACGAGGCTCGCCTCACTGTGAAGCGCATGCAGTATGCCTTGAGGTGGTATTTTTGAGGCTAAAAATATGAGGCTCACGCCTCTAAATGTGAGGCGAACGCTTTAAGGCGCGCCTCGCTATTGCCTTTTGTAGAAATTGAGAGTAGCAAAGAGGAAAATAATGGGGAAATTAGTTATGATGATATTTCATTAACGATGCTAGTAATAGTGATGATAGTGCAGACTATTAGGCTTTTTTTTTTTAAGTTTAAGCTGCTTCTTTTTTTCCATTGCAAATGGAGTGATTTCTAACTTCTATAATCCTTTTCTTTTTTTTACTAAACATCTTCTTTCTTTAGGTGAACTATATCTCAATATGCTACTAACTATATATCATATTTACTATATGCTCCAACTTTCGTTTTTTTGTATTTTTCTATTATTTTATAATTCTTTTACTTAGATTTTTTGTTTTTTGTGAGGCTTACGCCTCAATCCCCCTCGAAACTTACACCTCATCTCATAAAGAAAAATTGCCTCAGTACTTAGTTTCGCCTTTTTAAACCTTGCCAACATCGTTATTAATAATCAGGAACACACCGTGCTTAAATGAAAGTTCACTAATTTTTTCCCCTTGCCACACTCGCAGGAAATGCAAGGACGGGAGTAATGAGTAAGAACATGATCTCTAAAGAAAAGAGAAAAGCTACAGAACAAAAGAACAGAAATAACTCCGCTAAATAAAGCAAAGAAATTAAAACAGTTATTCCCTTTCACTCCATAACCACATTAGAACCACCTAACATAGCAATAGTGTACTAAACCTGTCAAACAGGGACATTCCGAAGATAAGTAAGAGCAGATTCAGACTGTACCTCCATCATAGCCATAACACTGTCTTTATTTGCACGCAGAACATGCATGACATTTTCACAAGTCGAGCGAAAATTTCCTTCAATACCACTGACCTCCATAGCTTTAACAAGCATTCTAGTAAGCCGAAAGGGGACCTATATCAAACCAATTTGATTTTGTTAAATGCGAATAAGAATTAATTTTGTCTAAAACATATGAAAGGTGGAAGATTGTTTCAAAAAAATTACATCTAGAAGGATAAAGTACCTTTTCAGGGAATTTCTCCCTGTTCATTGATGCTTCAAAGCAATCTCCAAAGTCAATATGCAAAATCTTTCCACTGACAAACATCACTTCGTAAGAATAAACTTATAACCTTGGTAATCACCAATTGTATATTTGGTCACGAAGGTACCTGGAACGATGAAGCATGAGGTTACTTGGATGTCGATCACCCAAACCAAGCAAGTAACCAACCTAAGACAAGAGAAGCCACTATTTCAGAAAATTTTCCCAATGAGAAGTCAGAAGAGACGTGTGAATATGTGTGGCTATATTGTGTACACCCAGGTACGTGTGTGCAACTTATGAGCACAATGATAATCATTGAGACACATGACTAGAACACATTAGGAGATTGATAGGTTACCCATCAGATTTAAGTATGCAAGACGCAGCAATAAGGACACAGTCAGTTGCAGTGATCAGCCAGCAGCATAAATTTCAGGGATTTATTTTGCATACAAACTTGTTAAAATTCGTTAAGAGGGAGGGGTACATGGGGATTCTTCTAGAATAACTGGGGGCCCCAAAATAAAATGGAGAAACGGGTTGTAGTCTTTTTATTTTTTTCATTTGCGAAGTGTGAGTGAATTCTGTGGAGAGAAACGGACCTCTCGAATGCCTATTTAACATTGTAAAATTTCCTTTTAATAGAAACACCATTTCTCTGTTCTTACAATTGATTGAATAGAGAGCAATTCTGGTAACATACAAACAATGATCCTTGCTTCTCTGCCTAATTGGCAAGGGTTCATATCAATTTTTGGTATCTACTACCTGATGTAAGAGATACTCGTCAACAATACCCTAGTTCTGGAGATTTGCAGTCAAATATAGATGTCACTATCAGGAGCAACAGAAAACGAGAAAGATTAACCTTTTATTTAAGGCAACGATTGTTTTTAATTTTACGCATTTTAATATTGCAGTGACTCATAAGTATAAACATCATAATGGCCTTGTAAACAGAGATGTCTACAATGACATCGTGCCAGAACCAGAGACATAAGCTTATTGTGTGAGCAAAATACTATTGTCAGCATGATGAACACTGGCTAACCTGGAAAGCGAAACATTTAGTGCTTGCTAGGCTTTCATTATAAGCTGAAATTATTATGTTATAGAAATAAGTGGTTGATAAGTGGGTAGTAATTGAGGGTGCTAACTCCTACGAAATGTATGGTTAAAATTAAAATTTGACTTTGACCAGATTATAATGTAAGGCAAACAAGCACTTAGAATAAGGAAGTGAATTTGGTGCAATGACATTCCTGTTTCCTCCTTTCCTCTACTTCGTCTGCTGGTGTAAAAAAATGAAAATTATAAAGTCAAATGCCGAGACTGCACCAAATGAAAGAAGAAACATTACCATACTCATGACGGCCAAACTTCTTGTGTAGTTTGTCCTCCTGTCTAGCCAAACCTCTGAAGTACGACTTTTTAACCAGAGAACCTGTCAAGGAGTCCACAAAAGCAATCTCAGAAAAGCCAATAAACATATTTGCACACATATATACACACATCAAATAATGCCTACCCTAGACAGGTCATTGCCTTCTGTATTTTGTAGAGCATACTCAAACACTTCCACCTTTGCTATAAGAGGCAAATGATCATAATCCGGAGCAAAACTAAGCATTAGCTTATGCTCTTGGTTTAGAGTGATCTACAATACAGGAAACAAGCGGTCGTAATCAGGATATGCAACTGCTTCATAAAAACAGACAAACTACCTGGATGGGAGGCATCATACGAACCTTTCTAGCATCCCTGTACTCTCTGATGAGATGGTGCAAGGTGTCACAATTTGGAACCCATTCTATCAGTCCACTGTTCGGAGATAGTGGAATGACGGAATATCTTTGAATAGAAAGATCTTTTTCTGAAGTTTTCCGAGAGTTTTCCAGCAGAGTATTAACTAAACCAAACAGCTAGCAAAGAATTGAACTTCAGACCTCATAAAAAAAGTTGATAAATGATGAGAAAGAAAATGAAATCATTTTCATAGTTCTGACCCAAGAGCGCACAAGCATTTGTTTGCATAATGTTATAACAGAACTGCACCACCATCCAAACAGAACAAGGGTACAGTGAGATATGAAATATAACCTGCATGACACGTTCATCTTGTCGTAAATCTTCATGCCCCTTCAGCAAGAAGGTATACTCTTCTCCATCACTCCCAAGAATTGACAACTTACGAGGTCGTTGTTTCGATGTGATGACAGAAAGCTGGGGTGCAAATGATGCAATTTTTACCTCTGGTGAATCTGAGGAAACAAATATATCTGTCATCAGTGATGTTCAATTCAGATGTGAATTATCCTTAAATATTTCCAATCACTACTGCGACTATACCTGCTATATAGGTTCCAGGAACGGCCAGTTCCAAATCCCGGCACTCCAGAAGTTCTGGGGAAACAGACTGTTTTTTACAGAAATATATAATTAAAATCTCAAATCTCAGTATTAACATGTACCAATACCTACAGAACTTTTTTCTTACCTGCAAATCCAGGGTGGTGAGAGTTTGAAGCTGCTTATCAATCCGCCTGAATACATGGTAATAGAGATCCCAAGCCTGGTGAGAAAATTATGTCAATTCATTGGAAGGAGTTGAGCTGTTCTCTGCGAGCCAAAACCACTGAATGTAATATAAAAGTATGCGCACAAAATACATTTCCTTGCAGACAGTTGAATACCCTAAGAAGATGAAAACTCCCAATGCTAAGTCCATGCAAGTTCTAATGTTGTAGATAATTAATTTAATGAAATCTTTCCTTGAATATATTATGTTGAAGCAAAAACCATCATCTCTAATGAGCAAAATGGATCATAATGAACTAGTCTGAATGAAGCAGAAAATAGATATAAATGATCACAAAAACAACGAACATATGATGAGCAACTGAATTATTTATATCACGGGCATGACAGCCGTCTAAGAAAAAGAGAGTAACAATATTATTAAACTGCAAGTGAGTGGAGTTTGTATACTAAAAATGTAGTGCATATCATTCTACTTTCTTGAGTAAATAGGTCCTACAATTCTACCTTCATAGCAATAATGTCCATCTGGGCACTTCTGTCTAAAGACCAATTCAAGGAAAACACAATTTTTACCTCATGTTCAACTAAATGAAAAATAAATATGAACAAATAAAAGGGGGGAAAAAAAATCCCCTACCCTTGCTCCCCCCCTCAACAACCCCTCCTTATTGATGCTTGCCCCAGATTTGGTTAGGTTATTCGAAGCTCAATTTTGTGTTTCCATCAACTCCTGAAGGTGGACAAGGAAAAATCAATTGCTAAAGGTGGATGTGTGTCTTTCTTTGAATCTGTCCATCCCCTTTTTCTATTGGTCTTTACAATTATCATTACAAACCAATGTGAAGACAATCAAATATTGTTAAGTAGATTATTGATTATGGCAGTCAAAAGTGTTGATGCAAGATATTATTAGACATTGTAGCCTGCTACATTTTGGAATCTCCAAACAGCAAATGCAATGAAGCTAATGTGAAGATCTTATTGAGGGTTCTGAGAATATCAAGGATTAGCAAAGAGCAATTATCTCGGTGTTGAGAAAAAAACAAAGAAATTAGCTTTATCAGAAATCAGAGGTTCTCTCACACTTAATATCGATGACTTCTAGCCCCAAATTTTTCTGTAATTCTTTCTTCTTACTAATCTAGTTCATCTTAAAAACCAAAAAATCTTGAGACACTTGCAATCTAGCGAAACAATTCAAAGTGCATATCAGAATTTCTTCACACAAATACCTGATTAATTTCTGCATCTTTTCCAGTTCTTCGGTATTTCATGCAGCATTCATAGGCCTCCAATAATTCATGGCGGTAAGCCTGAAACACGTCAAGGTTCTTAATAGATATTGTACCATAAGTGACATGTATCAAATGGAGGTTATGAAGAATATTTCTCAGCTTAATCCATAGAAATCAAGTCATATTTCTCAATTGATGTGTACAAATTCCTATAAAGCAATTGACATTCATGAGAACATAGTAGCCACTGTTAAATATTTTCCTCTACACTTTGCTTATAACAGATGATGTATGTCCGAGAATGTGGAAACAATGGACAACCTGAATGAAGGCTTTCTCTTTTATGGTAGTATTGTTGCTCATAGCTCCTTTCTCGAGCATTTCATGCAATGGCTCCAATACCTTAAGCATTCCCTCAATGTTATGTTCCCCGAAGTATAAGCGGCTCGCCTCTTCCAATGCTTCGTGCCACGTCTCATGCCAAAGAATTGCAACTCTTATCAACTCCTCAGACACGAGTTGAGCCTTCAAAATGAAAGCCAAACAGTCAGCTATTGCACAAATGAAACAAAAAAGAGTCACCATTGTAAGTCCTTTTCACCTGATCCACCAGTACACCACTATGCCGTTTAACTTTATCAACCACTTCCTGAGCTGCAGCTTTGCGTAAATTGCTAATAGATTTGCATGCCACAAGGAGAGGGTACATAAGAGCCTGAACATGAAATTAAATTATTTTAGTCATACAATTGACGAAAAGTACCTTGCAAGCTCAAAGAAAGTTATACAAACTGAAGATTAATTAAGGCTTCATTCTGCATGATCTTCAAGGTTTACTCCAAGACTCTAATTACAGAAAAAAACTCGATGATCTCTAGCAATTATGTAACTCTCTCAGGTCAAGAGACTGAATGCATTAAAGTAAAACATTTGCCATCGTACGATCAGACATAACCATAGCTTTACCATTCTCTTATAAGTTCTTTCATACTGAACTATTAGCCTTTGCCAAGAAAATCACGTTACATTCTCTATTGCGTGAATGTATTCAGGAAAATTATGTCTCCAACTCTAAAAGTAAAATTGACGGCTAGCGTGTAACCAAGTATGAAGGAAATCTAATATTGGATCTCTTCTCCATGGAGATTTAAAAAATGTAAATATTCGATCATCATGGACGAATTTAATTTATATAAGCAAGATTGTTGAAAAATGGTGAAGTTGTCCATTCAATTCCAATTTCAATTCAACTGTGGTTATTATTCCTTCGAAGCTCTACATTCAGAGATCTATTTTTCCACCAATAACAGTATAATTAGCAAGGTCTACAATTCCTAAGGTCCAAGTGTAATAGAAATGTAATTAAAACCAATATTTTAACTGGCTTGGAAATTGACCTTGAAAATATAGTGGGTCAACGGGCAAAAGGTTCAGCAAGGGATCTGGGCTTGAGCCAATGGTCATAAATTATTAAATAAATAATATTGGAGAGAGTGTAAAATTCAAAATTTATACTACATTTTGGATATATTAATTTTTAATACTTATATTCGTTCTTGAGAAATTAATCAATCAAATTATAAAAAAGTGGGCGAACATTTTGATGGAGTATTTCCCTTTCTCCCCCTCATTACGGTGCAATTGTACAACAGCCAACATGTATGATCGCACTTATTCCACATCGAAATTTATCAATTGCAATGAGAGAAGGAAAGGCAATAAATAGAACTACCCTAGTGAGTGAATTAATTAGGAGGCATGTGGTCATTGCATGCATGTGAATTTACATTTTTTACTATATTGACCCTAGAAAACCAGGAGAATCGTGAGCAGTTCATTTTAAAGGTGGTTTTTAATTGTTGGCTGGTCTTTGGAACGAACAACCGGCCGGGCTAGTCCAGGTTCTGACAACATTAATTAAAACTTTCTCATACTTCTTGTTTCAGGTGAGTGTCCAATATACGTAAGAGCACATTTGGCTAAGCTTTCAAGTCAATTTCTGTTACCAAACACATTTGAAATATGTTACTTCTTCCTTCTATGTAAAATAGTTACTTATTTTGATAATCAGGTAGGGATTAGTTTTAAAGTAGCCTATTTTCAACTTTGACCATCGAAAGAAATATTTTAAAATTTAATTACAAGTAGATTTATAAATAATTTTTTTAAACTAAAAACAAACATGCAACAAGTCTCTCACTAATAACATTTCCATTTTCACCAATCAGAGGAGTCTAGGTGCATGACGCAAAAGTATCACATATAAACAAACCTGCGGATGACTTTGGCCAATCCGTACCAACAGCGATTGTATTAATTCCCTGACAGCATGGTTATTGGAATGTATCCTCGCAATAATCTGAGGTAAAACAACCAACCACGTGTTGATATTAACAAGTGAAAATCCTTTCTGCAACGCCGTTTGGACCTCTGAAGTATCTCCGTGGTTGAACCACAAAGTGAGGAGACGTAAAATATCCTGCAATCAAGATACAGGATAAAATAAGAAAGATATAATAAACTAGTCAAGTTTCTGAGACGATAAAGGTAGCACCTATAGAAATAAATTCGAAATAATATTGAGATAATCATTTAACATGATAAAAATTAAAGATAATAGTAATACTTGAACTTCTAAAGACAAAATCCAACAAAAGCAGGTAAAGAATGACAACAAATGCAGTAATGTAGAAAAAGTGACAGTTTGTTTTTAACAAGGAACGTGGCTTTGGACAGAGCAAAATGAATTGACCCCAAGTTCATATTGGATATTTTTATGCGAGTTCAGTAGTAGTGACAGATTAGAACCATTAAATTGGAGTAGAAACTTTTCAAGAAGTAGCTGACTACGCTAATGTAGGACAGGATTTTAATCTTCAAAGTGTTACCTGCAAACTATCATCCACTCCTTTGGCATGTGCAGCACAAGCTATGGAGTGAAAATATCCAGTTACTGCCGCAACAACAAACTGTCCAGCAACATTGGGTAAACCTCTCAGTGTGTAATGAGACATTACTGCTGTATTGAATAGGGCCCATGTATGCCAAGCTTTTGCCCACTTGGTTGCACAATGAGTAGCACTTCCGAACGCATTAAGAATTTCTGAAATCATAGGAAATTAATCCCCAGAAAAGCGATTAATATGTCAAATTTAGTTGCTGGAGCAGCTGCCAAATCCTTTACATTCTCTTCTCCTCTTTCATTTATT